TTTATTTTGGAATTGGATGTGATGCTTTCAACTTATGCATTTTGGTCACTGTCTATTTCCGATTTAGCTACTATTTTTTATTTTGTTATATTTTAGTCCTTTACTCAATATTTCAATTTTAGCCTTCCATTTTTTATTCTCTTTAATTTAGTCCTTTTGTATTCATTAATTGTTTTCTAATTTTGCCTTCAATTTTAAATTCCTTTTAACTTTGTCCTTTAATCTAAGAGAATTTTTGATTTGGTCTTCACTTATGCTCGAGGCTCCATTTTGGTTGTTCAATTCAATAATTTACCAAAAATTATTAAGATTAATATTAGAGCCTACACCTTTTAGGTTTATGCCTCTAGGTTCTTTAATTATTCATAATTTGATTATGATGAATAAAAATTTAAGTTAGAAAAAGCCTTAATTTACCCTTAGTTTAATTATGATGAATAAAAATTTGTTTGATTGCATTTTATTTTTAAACCTAAGGCAATGTTCACTTATTAGGGAATTAATGATATATCTCCCGCAAGTATGCCCAGGGGGTGACTACTGGAGATTCCCGAAATAGGTTGACATCATTTTCAAGACCACATCATGATTTCTAAAATTAAGGCAATGTTCGATTATTAGGCACAATAGTTGATCTCCCGCATTTATGCTAGGGGATTATGTTATCGGCCTTAATAAACGAATACTCTTTTCAAATTTGCATCCGTAATAATTTTTAAATTAAGTAAAGTTCGAACTCAAAATTTTCGATTCTAAATATAGGGTAATCAACTAGGTACCAATATTTGGGCACTTGTGGGGGTATTAATCCTTCCCCACGCGTAACCGACTCCCGAATTTGATTTCTGGATTTTCGCAAACCTTAAAATTTGGTATTTTGATAAAAATAAAATGTTTTATTAAAATCATCTGGTTTTTATAGTGTCATAATCACACCTTAAATGATTGGTGGTGACTCCTCACATTTCAAAATTCTTTTCAAAGAAAAACCCCCAAGTCGGTACTGATCTTTCCCCACCATGGCGAAAAACGGAATCGACAATTTTATAATATTATGTCAAAATTAAATTGAATTACTCAATATTTCAATTTTAGCCTTCCATTTTTTATTCTCTTTAATTTAGTCCTTTTGTATTCATTAATTGTTTTCTAATTTTGCCTTCAATTTTAAATTCCTTTTAACTTTGTCCTTTAATCTAAGAGAATTTTCGATTTGGTCTTCACTTATGCTCGAGGCTCCATTTTGGTTGTTCAATTCAATAATTTACCAAAAATGATTAAGATTAATATTAGAGCCTACACCTTTTAGGTTTATGCCTCTAGGTTTTTAATTATTCATAATTTGACACTTTAAGTTAGAAAAAGCCTTAATTTACCCTCAGCTTAATTATGATGAATAAAAATTTGTTTGATTGCATTTTATTTTTAAACCTAAGGCAATGTTCACTTATTAGGGAATTAATGATATATCTCCCGCAAGTATGCCCAGGGGTGACTACTGGAGATTCCCGAAATAGGTAGACATCATTTTCAAGACCACATCATGATTTCTAAAATTAAGGCAATGTTCGATTATTAGGCACAATAGTTGATCTCCCGCATTTATGCTAGGGGCGAATGCTATCGGCCTTAATAAACGAATACTCTTTTCAACTTTGCATCCGTAATAATTTTTAAATTAAGTAAAGTTCGAACTCAAAATTTTCGATTCTAAATATAGGGTAATCAACTAGGTACCAATTTTTGGGCACTTGTGGGGGTGTTAATCCTTTCCCACGCGTAACCGACTCTCGAACCTGATTTTTGGATTTTCGCAAACCTTAAAATTTGATATTTTGATAAAAATAAAATGTTTTATTAAAATCACCCGTTTTTATAGTGTCATAATCACACCTTAAATGATTGGTGGTGACTCCTCACATTTTAAAATTCTTTTCAAAGAAAAACCCCAAGTCGGTACTGATCTTTCTCTGCCATGGCGAAAAACGGAATCGACAATTTTATAATATTATGTCAAAATTAAATTGAATTAAATCATATTGAAATCTAGATCATACCAAAATTGAGTGGAGACTAGTAAACTTCAAGTTAAAGTCAAGATGATAAAAAATCTTACACGCTAATTTGTCATCCCTAAATTTATGTAGAGTTACACTTGTCTATAAGTTAAGAGTTTTTAATTTTTGAATCAATTTTATCTAAATTTAAATTTAGTTATATATATATATTAATCATATTTATCTGGTATGTTGATCGATTATTCTGGATTAGATTGTACATAGACTCTGGAGACAACTCGTCCAACCCAGTTTGTTTCATTCGCAAACACAAAAGTTTAAACTTTTAACCTTATTTTGATGAATCTAATGACTCATCTTATTAGACCAATTAATTGTTGGTTATAAATGTATACCATCAATTCTTCATAACATATATAACAATATAAAACAATTAAATTAAATCAGATTAAATTTAAATTAAATATAAAAATATGAACTAATAAGGCTATCAGTTGAGTAGAACATAGTCAAGATTTTTAAATATAAAATCAACTTGGTTTGGTTCCAATATAATTTTAAAATTATATTTTTGTTTAAATATAATTATATTAATATATAAATATTAATTATATTTTTATTACTTTATTTTTTCAAAAAAAAAAAAAAAACTATTTAAAATAGAATTTTTGATTTTATCTGATTTAATTCATATATACTTTTATATTAAAATTTTAATGCTAATCCATAAGGATAGGATGACAAGACAATGACAACACTGACCTCTTTCAAAGTCAAACCCCATATTTTTCTTAGTTTATCCTTGTATAATAATAATAATAATAATAATAATAGTAATATCAATTCATTAATCATATTTTCGACTTTCTGAAAAAGAAAAGAAAGTAAAAGGAGTACAATTTTTTATATGAATTACGTTTAACAGTTTAAATACATATTAATTCAATTAAATCAAATCAAATTATAAAAATAATCAAATATTTAATGTTATTATATTAATAAGATTTGAACCTTTTTTATATAAAAAATTTGAAACCTAAAAATAAAAAAAAAGTTTAAGACTTAATAATTGGCTTAAATGCACAGTTGCCTCCTAAAGTATATCATTTGTACTGAGTTACCTCCTTAAAACTTATATCGACGATTGTGGGTATTACGGTCATGTAATAACGGTCGCAAAAGGCACCACTATCACTATATAACGAATGTTATCGTAGTCGTGAAACACTATTTAAATTTATGCTCGTATCATAAAAACATGACCAATTTTATGTATACAACATCAACTAATCAATCTTTTTTCCCTCCTTTTACGCAGGTGCTTCCTTACGGTTAAAATTCTTTTTTGTTTAATCTCTTCATTTAACCTGATGGGTCATGCACGAATCAAACGACTTAGAAGATGGTTGTTATCTCAAGAGGTTTCGAGTTCGAGCATGAGATCTGCAGAGATGTATGTGTATTTTTGCGTGTTGTGAGTACTATAAATTAGACGCAAATTATGTGCAAGTATACACAATCGAACAAGTAATAAAGTGATAAGTGAGTACCATTCCCACAGGGATTGGAGGAAATTGCAAGTTAAATTAAATAACGAATACTAAATTATCTAAGTATAGTTAGTGTGATGATATGCACAAGTGAAAATATATTGGCAAAATGAGAAGTATGAAGAAGGAGTTCAATGGGAGTGTGAAATGTAATGGCGAAATGAGGTGTGATGGCAATGTGGCAGATGAAAATGTTGTGGCAATTGAAGATGCACTTGAAATGTAAACAACTGAAAATGCCAAGGTAAATGAATTGAGAATTCATAAATAAATAAGCAGACTTAATAATCCTCACACAACAAGCTAATATGGGAATGAATGGTGGGGTTACTAAGGAATCCTAAGCCTTGCCTCTCATAATGATTCAAGCTTCTATGGTCTATTTTCGACATAGTTTAAAGAGTGCCCCTACACTATATCTAGTCATGAGACCTGACAGATAAAAATGTCACGGCAATACCTCTCGGCGTGAACAGTGACTTAGAACCTATAGATTAAGCAATACTCCTTTTAGTCGTTGAAATCCTATCCTTATCTCTAAGGTGAATTAGGTCTTAGTTAGCAGCTAAAACTCATTGTTGCTCACGTTGATACTTCCTTAGTTTCTCTCGAACACTAAGGATCATTCACTTAGTTTCTCTCGATCACTAAGTGTTCTACCTAAGAAATAACTACTCTCATAGCTCTTATAATCCTAAGTAATTAAGTACAATGAGCAAAACAAATACATAAACATAAAAACTCAAATCATTCATTAAAGCAAATACTTAATCATCCATAAAAACCCACACCATATAAGGTTTAGTTCATGGTAGGGTTTGAAATATCCAAGAGAATAATTCGTTCCATTTAACCCAAGTAATCGAATAAAAATAAAAGCATAAGGATGAAGGAAACTCCCAACACACATTGTCGGTTTTTCCTCGGACCACCACAAACGACACTTTAGCGTGCTAGCTCCTCTCGGACGTCTAGCTTGCCACTCCCTCGAGCTTGGCTATGGAGGAAACCCTTGAAAAGATAAAAAGGGAAAGAAAGTTGGAAACTTTCAGCCACCTCTTACTTAGTTCACTATTTCCCTAGAAGAATCCTCCTCTGATTTTTATGACCACCTTTTCTATTTATACCATGGGAATGTCCTAGGTTTTAGTGCAAAAATTCTCATAGTACCCTAGAGCACATTCCCCTCATGTGAAAATAGGTACAAAGGTGGAAGTGGTCCCTTCTAAGGTGGTTAGTAACAGAAAACACGTGAGAGCTAGACAACTGGCAACTCCCATAAAAATATCTTCTTTATTTTTGTCTTTTTCTGTGCACATGAGTCATCCCAAATTGCCTTGGCAATTCTCCTTTGCTCGCCATCTGGGAATGTTGTGACAGATCTCCATGTTGACCCTTTACTTCATCAACCTGCACATCATCAGCAAAACACAACCTTCCTCGTAAAACAATACTATTTACAAAATAATGGCATGACAAACATAAACCACCAACAATTCATTCCCAAGTAACTTACTTTTATCTTCAATCTCTCATCCATAATCATTTTGAACATATGATATAACGTTTAAATCTTCATTTTTACCAATTAAAATATTCTTCAAAGGAACTCATTAAGTGACCTTCATGGTTAAAGAGGGTGTTGTTCTCCCTAAAAGCACATGGTTCAAGTCGTTGTGTTTTCACACGTATACATGTTATCAGGGTGTTCAAAACCAGGTACCCGATTTTTCAGGTACTCGAAAAACTAGGTACCTGTAATTTTCAAATATCAAAATGTCGGCCCGTGCCCCAGCCATTACATTCGGGTACCCGTAAATCGGGTACTCGTATTTTCAGGTCACGGGTATCCAATTCATAATTTTTTTATTTTTCCTTTAAATTATATTATTTTTTAATATATATATATATATATATATATATATATATATATATATATATATATATATATATATAAATTTAAAGTTCTATAATATATAATTCACACATAAAATTTAAAAATTCAAATTACATAATTGAAAGAAAATTTATTAAATAAAAAATAAAAAATATAATTAAATTTCAAGTGTTTCGAAGTTAAAATAAATATTTTAAAAATATTTAGAATATTAATGTGAAATAATTTAAGGAATTAAAAATTTAGAATGTTATGGTAGCAAAATTTAATAAATTATGAATTTAGGATGTTATAGTGAAATAATTTGAAAATTATAAAAAAAATAAAAAATGAAAATAAAAAATAATATATATATATATATATATATATATATATATATATATATATATATATATACTAGGTATCGGGTCGGCGGGTACCATGTTAAGCAACATTTTGTGACCCGAGCCCGACCTGAAAACCCAAAAGTTTAGCGGGTTGGGTACTCGACCCAAAAAATCATGTATTTTCAATATAAATACTCGATATTTTTAACCGGGTCGACGGGTTGATGGTTCGGGTCAATTGAGTCGGGTATTTTTTAACACCCCTATATACATGTTCTCAATAACTAATAAAGATTCTGAGTATATACTTTGCTGTTCATAATCGTCACTCACCGACTAAAAAATGATCCAGCAAACAAGAAGAGCATATCAAATTATTTTTATGCAAATCAAACTCGAAATATGTAAAACACTCTCAGTGCTTGTCGGAGCTTGATTGTTCCTTGACGGAAGGAGCATGCGTCATAACATAGTTGCTCACACTCCTAAGATGATCAAAGGTTAATATAGTACCTTTGAACAGTTTCAAGTCCTCTGCTTCCCATGACCAAAGAGTCGAGCTTCAGATCATCAATAGCATCAAGAATTTTGTCCCTCGCATCTCCTCCCCAGTATGACGACATTTATCTGTAGAATTCAAAAACACGATGAAGATGAACATATGCTCCAAATAAACTTATATTAATAATCAGACAATTTCCAGTGTTTAATATTATAGATATGGAATCAATGGTCAAACAAATCAAGCAAATTCCAAACAAAGGACGGAGTGCTGTGTGACCCGAAACTAAGTTTTTGGACAGCCCCAACGGCGAGTGGTTTATTGTGTACAAAGTCCATGAACCCATTTAGGCCTACTTAACTAAATCATTGTAACACATCGGCCCGTAGAACTAAAATTACATGCCCAGAAAGTGTGTTAATGTCATCATCATCATCTGCAGTGAATAACATATGAGCAATCTTTTTGTTGATATTAATTACTATCTGTCATCATCGTACTAAGGTAGTAACAAACTTCGATCTCATGAACTACCCCCACCTTTAGATTTTTGGCTAAACTACACCCATAACCACTAATTACGGGATATTCTATTTTAGCCATGCATCTTTCGATTTTATTGATCATATCACTTAGTTATTTAAATGGTGACAATCAAACTATCAGTTGTTAATAAGGTGTCGTTATGGACCAAACGTATAATTGTACCAAATTTTTTAACTTAACGTCACTTTGTCTGTTGTCGTGGCCTTCTTTCGAGTTGGCTCAGAATTGGGCTAATTCGATTTGAAAAAATGGGTTAGAGTCGCCACCGATCATTTTAAAAATATTTAGGCCGATTGGACACTATCTTAACTGATCTGCGTTTTACCATAAATGTGTCGGGTTCGGGAGTATGTTACAATCAAGGAAGGATTAGCACCCTTGAACTGTTCTTTCAGTACCATTTAATTTGTCGATTGTCTTTAATTACGAAAATTAAAATTTAAAAATTCAACTCGAATTTCTTACCTTTGATCGATTGAGATTATTACTGAAAAAGACAAAAAGAATGTTAAATTGAAAAAAATAAAGAAATATCAAATAAATAAAAGAAAAAAGTTAAAAAAAAGGTTTTAAAAAAATAAAAAATAAGTAAAAAACTATTAAAAGGGATAATAAAATAATAATGAAAATGAAATAAAAAAGAAAAAAATATAAATGAAAATTCGAATTAAAGGATTAAATGAAAATACAATTATATGCTCATAAATGCATCTATATGAACCTATATGTGTTTTAAGATAGCCAATAACTTAAGTGAAAAAGGCACTAAATATAGCCTTTTTACAGAGTTATCAAGTATTCATTGTCAAATGATTAAGAATCTTTTAAACGGATATTACCTTGTAATTACTCCATATTGATAAATGTTTGGTTTGATCGTGCGGGGACTAACCGAGAAACTAAAGGAAAAGGGCATCACATATAACAATAATGTTTCATTTACTTATGAAGCCTTTATGCTCACAGTTCTGCCATTCTTGATTGCATAAGTCAATAGATCATGAAAGCAAAACGGTGGTGGTGATGATTATGCATAAGTTTTTTTTAAAAAAAAAATTGGGTTAAACATATTGAACACTCATACAGTATGCAGAGATCAATAGTGGAGAGTAATCAAGAAATGTTTGAGGAACTCAAGCCCTTCATGCTACAACATAATCCTCATTTAAGAGAAGATTACTTTGTGTCAATGTTTTTGGGAGGATTGAAAAAAGAAATTAAACACAGAGTAAGAATGCATGAACCAAAATTTAGATAAAGGTTATAGGAAGGCAAGATTGTGTGAGTTAGCATTGGAGATAGAAGGAAAGAGGAAGCAACACTTAGTTAAGAGCAATTATTCAGGGCATACTGTAACACCCCAACCCGTATCCGACCCGAATACGAGTCCGAGATGTCACATTGACTTTTCAAAACCTTTTTCTTACAAAATATCAAGACCTTTGAACTCTTTTTAAGAAAGTACGATAAAATATCAAGAAAATATACGTTTTATGAACAGTAAAATATGGTATGAACAGTGAGCAGTACCGTATGAATAGTAGTTAATAGTACTATGCTACAGTACCCCGAATGTTAAAATTTCCATATTGTAATAGGGAACCGATTACCCTGTAACAGGGAATCGATACCCTGCTACAATACTGCTACAGTACTTCCGTAAAATACGTATAAATTCATAAAATTTAAAACGTTCATCATCTTTCATTCACCATTTACAAATACACGTTTAAAACATTACAAAATTCAATCATATGATTTTAACAAAACCGATTAAAACATATCGGATTCAAATCTTTGTTTACATGCCAACCATTATAAGTATTACAAAATACATAATATTAACTTCTTTTCTGATCTGATCTTTGGAAAGGAGAAACTGACATGTCTTTCATAACTTTTCTCAATCTTCTCTTTTTCGCTTTCTAAACCTACGTGTGAAATAATCACACTCTAAGTCGATGACTTAGTGAGGCATATAAAACATATAGTATAACTATATACCATTTCATATAAACAAAAGACATACATCGGAAAATACTATCACATCATATAAAATCATATCTCCATTGTATAACCAATGCACACATATACATTTATCATGAACATATTTATCAGTAATCATATTATTATCACTAATTCATTTTTATCATATAATCATATGTTGAACATTTCCATATACATCATGGAACACATATATCATTTCATAACAAAACACACATAACATGTATAATTCATATAACACATTTCGTATCATAAAAACAAACATATACATAATTTATATATTGTATTTGATATTATCTCTTTATTAGCCCATGGTACACTGGTGAGAACTGAAGGTATGTGAGTACATTGATATTGTGCACTAATGCTGTCACCACAGCTCGTATAAGTCCCACTGAGTGGCATATGAAATTTGTCCCGAAGGACCTATGTATTTTTCCCGAATGACCACTGTATATGTCCCAAAGGACCGCGTAGACCTTCGACTCTTGGCATGCCAACTATACCTATAGCTCTCGTATTATATAACATGGGCATTTTTCTTTTGCTTCATATATTTATGTACTCATATTATTGCTTTTATGATCACATGTGCATATAATCACATAGTTTACTTTCATGTAATTCATGTCACTTTTCATATGAATTTATATTCATATATCACATAGCTCATATCACTTTGCATGGATTCACATAAACATATATATTATTTGTGTTTCATCACTTATTCTCATATCATATAACATGCTCTATCCTCTTATGTTCACATGACATATAATGCATACAAATTATATTCACATATGTCTTTACTCATGAATTCATACCTCATACAAATCATGTCATCTCTTGTTCTCATATGTTTCCAATACATCACTAGTGCAATTTCATGTAAATCATGTAACATATAAGAATATATATATATATATATATATATATATATATATATATATATATATACTAACACACACATAATAATAACATAAATTTTAAAAGTTACTTCTTACCATAGTAACTCCATCATTAGCTCATCGCAAGCCAATGTTTGTTCAAGAACCTAAGTACAAAATAAATTGCACTCACCTTAGTCTTGCTTTGATTAGATCTTAATCATTTGATTATTCCGGAACTTGTTTAGGCTCAATATCTACATAAATATAACATTTCAAAACAACTATCAGAAACCTAAACCTTAAACTTGATGTTGATAACTTAAGCCGGTTTAATGAACCAAAATTCCATTTTTCATTTAGGGGGAGTATGTTCCCCCTGCACAATCTGGAATTTTCGTTCAAGCCCAGAAATCACTGTTCATTGCACGAAAATTCTCTATTTCCACTTCAATTCTTCATATTTCATCCCTTTCATATTCTTAACTCAAATATACATGCTTAAACTAATTTATATCCATTTATTTCATCTTAAACCTCAAAATTCTATTCTCCATATAGAAATCAATAATCATACCAAATTTTCCATGTTATCCAAACTTAATTCTAACACTTCTAACTTCTTATTCTCATAGATGACACGTCAAATTCAACTTAAAATTCAACTTATCAACTTTATTTCAAGATTTCATTCAAGAACTCAAAATCTTTAATCTCTCATATACCTTTCATCTTGTTGTTTTAGAACAAATTAAGCTTTCCTTAAGCTTAATTATCATCTAATGATCAAAACCCAACCTTTATTCAACAAATAATCAACAAAATAGAAAACTCTTACCTTTTCCTAGCTTCCACGGTTGGAGAAGAAAATGAAGAAGAGAAAGAAGAAGATAACACTTCCCCCACGTGATTCATTCATATAAGGGAAAAAATATCTTTCTTGTCAAATGACCATTTTGCCCTTTAATTCTTTGAATAATTACTAAAAACTTTCAGGAAATATCCCAAAATAAATCATTAAACTATTCAACTATTTTACTTTGACCAACAAATTCTGAAATATTTCAATTTGGTCACTAACCCGGTATTGAGGATGTTACAAATCTTCCCTCCTTTTAAGAAAATTCGTCCTCGAATTTTCATTACACACTTTGACAATAACAAATATTTTAATACTCTCATGTTGTTTCCTTCATTTAATCTTTCCTTCCTTTAGTTCTTTAACTAACATTTTTTCCCTATTCATTAATCTACTTTTGTTTATCATATAAACAGTAACAGGTAACCTCATCCATTCCTGTCTTTTATTTCTTTCGATTCTGCATTTTCCTTTGATATTTCTAAAATTCATATAATGTCACTTATCACATAAACAGTAACATTTATTTTCATCACTTAACATCATAAATCAATCAAATTCCTTATAAATTTTTAATTATTGTGCAACAATAACCAAACTTTTATTCCATCATCGTTTGATCAAGAACATAACTTTACATCTTCTTCAATTGTGATTAAACATATACTTTACGGAATTAAACAATCTTTCACATTACCTTGCACATTTTTTTCTTACTTTTCCATCAAACTTATAATCTACACTTCCATATAATCTTTATCATATCGAATCATTTAAACTCCATCTTTCTATAATCAAGATCCCCTTATCCACAATTAAATCATATCTT